TTACCACAGCCTCAATCTTTTGGGCTCAGGTGATCCTCCCACCTCAGCCTCCTGAGTAGCTAGGACTACAGGTGCCTGCCACCATACCCAGCTAAGTTTTGCATTTTTTTTGTACAGAGGGGCTTTCACCATGTTGCCCAGGCTGATCTCTAACTCCTGGGCTCAAGTGATCCGCCCGGTTTGGCCTCCCAAAGTGCTGGGATTACAGGCATGAGCCACTGTGCCTGGCCCAAACTCTTTAGATTCAGAGCTAAACACCGAAATATTTATGGGTGAAATGATGTGATGTCTGAGATATGTTTCAAAAATAACTGAGAAATAGGGGATGGAACAGATGAAGTTATATATGAAACAAGATTGGCCATGAGTTGATAAAGCTAGTTTATGGGTTCATGGGGATTTATTATATTATTCTGCCTACTTTTGTATATGTTTAAGATTTTCATTTTTTAAAATCTTTTTTTTTTTAAAGCTGACAAAGGGACTGGCTGTGGTGGCTCACGCCTGTAATCCCAGCACTTTGGGAGGCTGAAGTGGGAGGATCACTTGAGCCCAGGAGTTTGAGACAAGCCTGGGCGACATAGTGAGACTCAGTGTCTTAAAAAAAATGCTGATAAATACATATATGCTTTCAGGATAGAAGTTATGAAAAGGGAGATTATAAAACAATGCTTTCTTAGTGGTTTTCATGCAGATGCAACATCTTTCTGTAGTAAAGATTTCCTCAAGTAAACATAGTATATATTCATTATAATATATATAGTATATATTCATTATAAAGGATCAAAACAATTCAGAAATATCCAATAGAGAGTGAAAGTCCCTTTCTTAAAGCAAATGATACTTTTTAAATGCTGAAAATTGTCATGTCATTTGCATGTGTTCTTCCATTTTTGAAATGTGCAAGATAGATAAAATTTCTTAATAGAGTAGAACAACTAATTTAGATCCAGAGTCAATTATATAAAGAAACTTTTCCTACTGCACTGCATGGTTTTTGCTTTGTAAAGGGGTTATTAACATTTTTTTCTGGGTTAGGGAAGGAGTTAAAAAAAATCCTGTACAGGTTAATTCATTGCGTGGTGAAAGCTATAGCTAAAGAGGCAATGTGGAATGCTCCAGTGTGCACAACCTCTGCTTTTAGCCTGGGTGGCAACTGCAGATCAGTCTTGGTGTGGTTAGGCTTTCCACAACGGGAAATTGAACCTGAGAGCTTAGGTCCTTAACAGTGCTAATTGGGAGATGTGAAGTGAGGGGATTTCCACTCTTTGTTAATAAGATCTTCAGGCACATTTCCTCTTTGTTTTTGCATTTTCCTTGGCTGTGAAGCAGCTGCAGGGAAGTAAAATGTGATTTCCTGCCTTTAGGAGTGCTGGCTTTTCTTTCAGAGACTTATAATTGGAAGGGTGGAAGGCATATGGATTGAGCTACCTACACAGCTAATTTAAACCTAGGTGGTTTACTTTTGTTTTCGTTTTTGTAAGGAGTTCGCTGCATTTGTGCCAAGAGTAGATTTGTTCAGATGATTTGAATTAGCAGATAACTCAGGTTGAGTCAAAAGCAGGCTTTTCTCTAGACTGATCACTGCTTTAACAAGTGTGATTCTTTGCAAGCTGACTGAAAAATCACTAGTGGCAAAATTGGATTCTGTCATATTAATAAAAATACTATAGTTCCTTTTCAGATTCATACAGCATAAATGCTTATCTTTTTGGTTGACCTGATTATTTAACCTGTAAAATTCTCCAAAATGAGAAAAATAGGCAGAGGATGTTTTTCAAGAAAATATGATAAAGCCATATCAAGGTATGATGTTCCCAGATAAAATGTCAGTGGGAAGTGAAAAGAACTTACTAGTACAGCAGATGCTCAGGAGTCATTAGACTTAGGTGAAAGTTCTTATCAATTAATACTTTTTTTGTAGTCATTGTCAATATTTCTTGCCCTAATAATGGTGGTTCATTTTTTTCAAAATATACTTATTAGCCTATCCTAACCATGGGCCAGACCTTTGGATATTTTTGATGTGGTTTCTTCTCAAGTCATTCACCATTGTGTTGATAGTACAAGGTTTCTCCAATTGCAATCAGAGAAACAAATGACTCTTAGAAAACAAGAACTGATTAATAAGTACCAAATTAGCAGAGCTGAATGATCAGATCCAAAGCATAGCATTCATTGTCCCTGTAAACTATGTGATTAGTGAAGCTTAACTAGTATTTAAACCCAGGCACCTGCCATCACACTGCGGCTAATTTTTGTATTTTTAGTAGAGACGGAGTTTTATCATACTGGCCAGGCTGGTCTCAAACTTCTGACCTCAGGTGATCCACCTGCTTCAGCCTCCCAAAGTGCTGGGATTACAGGCATGAGCCATGACACCTGGCCTGGTGTAAAACTTTTAAAGTAGAATCCTGCTATTAGTAAAGGAATGATAATGGATTTTGAGGGGAAAGGAAAGAGCCATAACTCTTCCTTGTTTTGTGATTCAACCCCGGTGTTTTTAAGTTTTATTTTATAGGATTCTGAATCCCCAGAAATTTTGTAAAAGTTTGTGTAAATATGTGTGCAGTATTTCAAATGGGTTATAGATTAATAGGTAGATGTCACACATACATCCAGGGTAAAATAGATTAAGTTCTCAGTTTGTTTAGCTAAGCACACTGAAATTTATCAGAAAATAGCCAGATAGAGAAGAAGCAGTTGTAATGTATTTTGGTAATTTCTCTAGGCCTCTGGAGTCCCAGATGGGGCTGAATAGCTCCCAGTAACATTATCCACCCAAGGTAGGATCTTTCTCGTGTAATTCATTCTGAATCACAAACTGTTTATAAACAGACTCACACTATTGTTCGCAAAGACTGACACCACAATCTGCATGCCTTCTTTAAGAGGATTTTTATGAATAGCAGGTTCTCTCCTCTTTAAGACAAACTCCATGTCCTGTCCTCACCAGGAGGAAAAAAAACTCACTCAGTCCTCATCGTACAGGATGTCCTTTTTCCTGCAATGAGGGCACGGATTTTTCTCCTGGGAGAGGACCCAGAGCCTTTATCAGTGACCCTGATGGGATTTCTTCCTCAGCCTTAGCTCTACTTTCTTGTCCAAGTGACTCTCATATTATTTTCTTTCATCCTGACTACTCTTTGAAATGCCAGATCAATGTAGCCAACTGATTATGAGACATTTCTTTGTGAATATGCCATTATGAACTCAAATTCAATGTGTCAAAATGAAATGACTCATAAATGCTTCTTCTAGCCCCTGATACCACCATTAAGTTTCCACTTGTGACTTTTCTGTTTCTCTGCCATGCAGACTGAAAAGATTAAAGTTGACTTTGTCTCCTCTCTCATACTAGTCCTATTGTGCAGCATTTCACATCTCTGCCTCTGCTGTTCCATTTACACTAATTCCATCTTATCTAGGCATTTAGTGCATCTCAACCTTGACTTCTGGATTACCACTGGTTTTTGTGTGTCTACACTCTCCTTCCATCCTTTTTTTTTTTTTTTCACACTATTGCCAGGTCATTTTTTTTTTAACATCACAACATTGTTTGTTATGTGAACTTTTTTTTTTTTTTTTTTTTGAGACAGAGTTTTGCTCTTGTTGCCCAGGCTGGAGTGCAATGGCATGATCTCAGCTCGATACACCCTCCACCTCCCAGGTTCAAGCGATTCTTCTGTCTCACTCCTCCCCTGGGATTACAGGTGCATGCCACCACGCCCTGCTAATTTTTGTATTTTTAGTAGAGATGGGGTTTCATCATATTGGTCAGGCTGGTCTCAAACTCTTGATATCAGGTGATCTGCCAGCCTTGACCTCCCAAAGTGCTGGGATTACAGGCATGAGCCACTGCACCCAGCCTATTATGTGAACTTTTTACAATACAAACGAAAAATACAGAAATGAAATATATTAATACAGCTAAATGAAGAATGATAACTTTTTTCTCTTAAAGAGGCCATGATTCCCATTTCTAATAAAATAAACAGACTGCATGTAGGTAGAAACAGGTTACTCATTAGCTTTACAGTTTTGCCTAGAAATGAACTTTAAATGCATTTTTGCCCCTGCTGCTTACCATAAAGTGCAAAAAAGGGAGTTAAAGGAAAGTTTTCTTGTTGGTTTCTGCCATATGGAAGAAGCTATATTCTATTTTAGCAGGCTAATACATGGAAAATATCTAAATTAAATGATTTTATTAAAATGAAGTAGTAATGAGATTCTAGCTAAAGAGGGCACTAAATGAGAATAGTATTATTTAAAGACTCCAAAACAAACAAAACGTTGTTATAAAAAAGCTCTAGGTCCACTGTAAGCCTATCAATTTTTTTTCCCATGCATATTTTTTAAAAAGTGTCAAAAAATAGGGTCAGCTGTGTTAGGCTAAATTACATTATTGTATGTGCTGCATTGAAGGGAACCTTTGTATTATAAGTATCATAAAAAGCATTATTTGCATCATATTGTGACAATTTATCCTCAATGAAAACCTTTTAGAGTCCTTTTATTTTGGAATATCCTGTGAGCAGTCAAATCAACAGAACATGATTATCTTGCTTTAAACTGAAGATAGCTGTTTTTAATTTAAAAAAAAAAAAAAAAAGGAAAATATAGGAAAGGCACTTAAAGCAATTACGTTCTTTTTTTTTTTTTCTTTTTGAGCCAGAGTTTCACTTTTGTTGCCCAGGCTGGAGTGCAATGGCACAGTCTTGGCTCACTGCAACCTCTGTCTCCCAGGTTCAAGCAATTCTCCTACCTCAGCCTCCTAAGTAGCTGAGATTACAGGTGCCTGCCACCATGCCTGGCTAATTTTTGTATTTTTAGTAGAGACAGGTTTTCAGTATGTTGGCCAGGCTGATCTCGAACTCCTGATCTCAGGTGCTCTGCCTACCTCGGCCTCCCAAAGTGCTGGGATTACAGGCGCGAGCCACCGTGCCCAGCTATGTTATGCTTCTTTTTCATTTGCTCATGGCACAGCCATTAGAACTTACCTTCAGAGTCCTTCAGTTTTTGAACTTTTTTTTTGACCTTCATCTCAAACACCTGCTCCATCTACAGCTCTATCTTCTTCATTTTAGCCACATGCACCCTTCTTTCTTCTTCCATTTGTGCCAGAAGACTCTTAGCCCTTATTTGTTATCAACTCCATTATAAGTCACAACTGCCAGTTTTCTGCTTTCAGAGTGGGCATTATTAGTAATGTCTTTCAAATATGCATGTGTTATCAACATATTTCTTAGAATTGTAAAATTACAGTGTTCACCATTTTTTTTTTTTTTTTTTTTGAGACGGAGTTTCGTTCTTGTTACCCAGGCTGGAGTGCAATGGCGCGATATCGGCTCACTGCAACCTCCGCCTCCTGGGTTCAGGCAATTCTCCTGCCTCAGCCTCCTGAGTAGCTGGGACTACAGGCACGCGCCACCATGCCCAGCTAATTTTTTGTATTTTTAGTAGAGACGGGATTTCACCATGTTGACCAGGATGGTCTCGATCTCTTGACCTCGTGATCCACCCGCCTCGGCCTCCCAAAATGCTGGGATTACTGGCTTGAGCCACCGCGCCTGGCAGTGTTCACCATTTTCAACCTCAGCAACACCCCAAGGATACTGCCTTCCCCTAACCCTTTTGCCATTAAGTTCAGTGATACAGTATTACTACCTACCTAAGCAAGAGGTAAATGGTCCTTCATCTTTTTAACAAACTTTTGTCTTCTTCGTCTGTTTCTGTATATGTTTTACGTTCTTAGATTTCTTTCATTGTCTGTTTTAAAGTTATTACTGGTTTAAGTCCATGTCCTGAAGGAGCAATGAAGTATAAACATCCCTGCGCCCTGTTATCAGGCATCTGACATCGGTTTACTCATGATTCTGCATTTAGGTAGTCCATAAATTTTCTATCAATGTAGTCGATAGCAAGCTGCCAGCATTTACTATTATCTATTGCATCTCCAAATCCTGGAGTATCAACTGTTGTCAGCAGCAACTGAACACTACCTTCTTTGATTAAAACTTTGGATTGTTCCTCTTGCACATTCTTTTTAGTAATAATTCTATGAGAAAGACCTGGGTACTCTGGAGAATGTAAATATATGAGGAATCATAAGTTGATTAATATTGATTAATTTCCCAGATTTCCCACTAACGTAAGTGTGAATTCAAACCTCCTCTTCACTGATTCTGTGGATACTTGATTTGGGAGATAGGCAAATCCCACACATTTCCATCATTCCAGTGGTCCAGATTCCAACAGAAGAAATCCACAGAGCAACCATGGTGCTGCTGTTGACACCCCTCTCCTCAGCAGCAGTGGATCTCACACTCCAGGTCATTCTTTTCAAAACACCAATGTAATCATATTACTCCCCTGCTTCAAAACCTTCAGCAGTTTCCCATTCCTACCCTGAAAGTAATTCCTCTAGTTTGGCTGCAGCCTACTTTTCAGGCCTCATCACTTACCATGCTCCTCTACAGACACCTGCTTTGGCCAGTGCCAGCTAATTAGAGGCTCTAGACTACTTTGTGTTTTCCTCATCTTTTTTTCCCTCATCTAAAATATACTCCTACCTCCAGATCCTGTTTTTCCTTCATGGCTATCTCAGCCTCTTTCATTTTTTCATCTCTGTAGTCTGCATTTTTCTTCCTTTGAACTTGCAGCATTTATTAACCCTGGCTCACATCTGGGAGGGAATACGTATTTTCTCTACTTGACAAATGAGGAAACTGAGGCTCAGAAAAGTGTGGTAACTTGCCAGAACCTCACAGGTTAAGTGATGAAGTCAGGATTCAAACCCAAATCTTTGGACTCAGTAACACATGCTGTTTAACTATACTGGTAATTCTACTTCCTTATGAGACTGATGTATATTTTTTGGGGATGGGAAATTACCTAACACTTAGCTTACTCTTATTTGCTTAATTATAGCAGAAGAAAAGGTGTGCAAACCTGGATTTGTAGTGATTGCTAGCAGGAATAATAAAACAGATTCAAACCATGCCAAAGTTCACGGGAAAATAGAATTTCCCTTAATCTCATTCATTACTGGTGGAATGACTCATCTTCCAGTTGTACATTACTGTTGAGTTACTCAGACATTTGTATAAGTTAGCAGAGAAAAAAACCACTGATGAGATGTACAAGACACGTCATCTGAGCTAATGAATGTTCCCGGGATATCCCCAAGATTTCTACCTGACTTTTCTTGCCTGTCCTATTTACTGTTTGACTGTTTCACCTTTTGGTTTTCTTTCAGAGTAAAATCACATCCCATTTCCTTTCTGCTTTCCACTTGGATGATTTTCACAGGCTACTCTCTTACTACTGCAGTGCACAAAGATTTACTGTCTACATATTTAACATTAGTCAGATTTACTGTTGTTGAATTTATGCACTAGAAATTTCAGGATTTAAAATTTTTCCTTTCTTCATTCTCTTCGCTGCTTCTCATTGTTTTTTCCACCAAAAGAGGACAAAAATAACCCAAACTATTTTTTTTTTTTTTTTCGAGATGGAGTCTTGCTCCGTCATCCTGGCTGGAGTGCAATGGCACGATATCAGCTCACTGCAATGTCCATCTCCTGGGTTCAAGTGATTCTCCTGTCACAGCCTCCCAAGTATCTGGGATTACAGGTGCCCGCCACTATGCCCAGCTAATTATTATATTTTTTCACCATGTTGGTCAGGCTGGTCTCGAACTCCTGACCTTGTAATCCGCCCCACCCCCACCCCCACTCCTCGGCCTCCCAAAGTGTTGGGATTACGGGTATGAGCCACCACGCTCAGCCTCTATTTTCTTTTTTTTTTTAATTAGCAATGGAATTGACTATAGATGGTAGTAAATTCTGCTTCATTTCTGTGGAAACATTGAAAACTTGATGGCTTTTGCAAACAACTGATAAATTGTTTCTGCTTTATAAAGAAAGGAAATAGCCCATTCAACTCAATGAAGTCATTAGTAAACTGGGAATTAGAAATAAAGATTCTGTATTTTTTTATTGTTATTAATTTAGTCTTTCTGTCTACATCTCAGTTTTCTCACAGGATTGTTTTAAGGTTAATCAGAAGACCTATGCACATTGTAAAGCATAAAGCAATCCTTAAGGATGCACTACAGGCAAGCCTCAGCTGAGAAACTTGATTTATGAACCATGCATACATACATACTACAAAGGGATGGATCTTACCTCAGTCTAGTGCCCTTTGAAAGAGTCAATCTAAATGGTCTTTTTGGCCCTTGAATCAGAATCTCTGGGAACAACTGAAATGTAGGTATATTTTTCTCAATGTGGAAGCAGTTAGGTTATGGGTTCTTATAGGGATTCATCTACTCTACTGCCATGTGAAGACAGGAGCCCATTTCTCAGTCAGGAACAGGAAGCAGGAAAAGTTATTTTTCTGGTATTTAATATTAAAATCCAAAGAATTATAAATGTTGAAAAACTGTTGGTAAAACTTGTGGTATTATTATTTACCTAAAGCACTTATAGGGGCTTTTACAGTATAGACTTTTTATGATTGTATCATTTAATTTTATTGATTCCTTAGAATAATAGCCCTTCGAAGTATGTGTTAAGAGCCCCACTTTATTCCTGAGGAACATAAGGCTCAGAAAAGTGAAGTGACTTGACCAGTGAGGGGGCTTAAATTTTCTAAACATTTCCTTCCGAGGAAGAAGGGAAGTTTGGCACTGTGTTGGTGCTTTAGAGCAGATTTTGGGTTACTTGTGAAGCAGAGGGGATTTCCAGGGTGTGTAAGCATGGACAAACTCCTTGAAAGAAAGCAGATTTTTTTTTTTAAGTAGTTAATAGCATTTTGGGGTTTGTAGGATTCAGGCTGTGTTATTGCCTTTTTTTTAATATTTTATTTTTTGGCCTGATTTGTTTCTATCTAATTTGGGAGTAAGATTTCATAATTAAAAGTATATTGCCCTTTGCCCTTTCTTTTAGCTATTCTCTATAAATCTGTCAGAATATGGTATGAAAATGAAGGAGAGTGGGAATAAAAATAATATAGCTGATTCTATCTAGAAGTTTAATTTCTAAACCATCTTTACCTGAGTTAGATCTATTTCTCCAAGGCTCAGATAAGATTGAAGAAATAACTTTATACTTGTAAGTAACTTCTGTTCTATCTGTAATTCTAATACTTGGAAATAATACCTAACTGCTAGGGAGCATGCATCTTTAGTTCATGATTCTACATGATTGAGAATTTTTTAGGGAAATGTTTTCAGTCCTTCATGTAGTTGATAGTGGGCTATCATTTTATATTTCAAGATTAAAAAATAGATTATTTTCTTTCTCCTTTCTCCTCTTCCTCTTCTCTTTTTTCTTCTTTCTAGCTGTATGGAATGACTGTACTTTAATTATTCATTGAGTCTTCTTTCAGTATTTAAGTTGTTTCAAATCTTTTACTATTACAAAATTACCACAGTGAATCACCTTACACATTTGTGATTTCTCACATATTCTAATATAGATGTAAGATAGATTTCCACAAATTGAATTGCTAGCACAGTGGAGACATACTAATTTCAATTGGCCTTCATGGAAATTTTATCAGTTTGTACTCTGATCAGGAAAATATAAGAATTCTTTCTCCACACCCATAAGATTCAGTGTGTTGTCAAACATTTTGATCTTTTCCTATATGAAGTAAAAAATAAAATTGCAGTATAAGATAAATTTACTATTTTCTTGGAGTGTGGTGGAGCATCTTTTCATAAGTTTAAGAGTCACTTAGGTTTATTATCTGTAAACTATTTGCTTCTGTCTTGTCCATTTTTTGAGTTGTTGTTTTCTTATTTATTTTAGGAGCTCTTTATTTGAAAAATTATCTGTGATTTGAATTACAATTTTTGAGGCATTACTCAAGTTTTTTTTTCTCCATGTATATTTAAAAGTATTTGAATTTATCAGACTTTCCTTTTATGGCTTCTAGGTTTCATATCTAGAAAGACCTTTTCCCTTGCAAGGTTATTTTTTTATTTTTATTTCATATCTAGAAAGACCTTTTCCCTTGCAAAGTTTATTTTTTTTACTTTTTATTTATTTATTTAATTTTATTTACTTGTTTTATTTCTTTTGAGAGAGTCTCGCTCTGTCACCTAGGCTGGCGTGCAGTGGTGAAATCTCAGCTCACTGCAACCTCTGCCTCCTGGGTTCAAGCAGTTCTCTGCCTCAGCCTCCTGAGTAGCTGGGATTACAGGTACCAGCTACCATGCCTGGCTAATTTTTGTATTTTTAGTAGAGACTAAAAGCCTCACCATCTTGGCCAGGCTTACAGGCATGAGCCACCACACCTGGCCTGCAAAGTTATTGAAAAACTAACAAACACAACATGGTCACCAGCATGACCAACATGGTGAAACCGTGTCTCTACTAAAAAATACAAAAATTAGCTGGGCGTTGTGGCGTGAGCCTGTAATCCCAACTACTTACGAGACTGAGACAGCAGAATCGCTTGAAGCTGGGAGGTGGAGGTTGCAGTGAGCTGAGATCGGGCCATTGCACTCCAGCCTGGGCAACAGAGCCAGACTCTGTCTCAAGAAAAAAAAAAAAAGAAAAAAGAAAAGTCAACAAACAGAAACAAAAAACTTCCTTTTGCTCCCTATACTTTTGTTGTTTTTCCTCTAAATTTTTGATCCATTTAGAATTTTTTCTCATATGAGGTAAGTTCCAACTTAATTTCCTCCCCAGCTAATTAGCCAGTTGTGTCAACATTATTTGTTTAACAACCCATATTTTACCCCACCAGGGATAAAGCAGGATGCTACTTTTAGCATATACCAAATTCTTCGTATAAACATTTAGGTCTCTTTTTGGACTTACTGTTCTGCTTCACTAATCTGGATACCTAACAGTATGATACTATTTTGATTATTGTAGTTTTATGATATATCCAATATCTATTAGAGCTAATCTTTATAGCTTGGGTTCTGGCACTTTCTTTAATAGACTTACCAGAAGTAAATATTATAGGCCTATGATAAAATGTATTAGTAATGTTCCCTGGGGCAAAATCATGTTTTATATATGTGACAGAGTCCTATTACCAGTGGCTTTTAAATGCTTTTGAACACAACACAGGTACAATATACATTTTATGTAATAACACATTTATAAATGAAAAAAGTTTTTACACATACAAAATTATGTACTCTTGCTATATTTGTTGCGTTCTATTTTGGTTCTTTTTATTTCCCCCAAAAATGCTGGTTGCAACCATATTAAATTGATCTCATGACGTAGTAAGGGGTTGTGACCTGCAGTTAAAAAACACCTTATTATTTGATGTTTTAATCATAGCCATTCTGACTAGTGTGAGATGACA